AACACACCCCAAAAAACGCCCCGCCATTTACCCACAACGGAACGTTGCGGAACTCTGATCTCTAGGAAATTTTTGACGGACTGGGACCTTAAAATCTGGCGTTTTTCGGGGGGTTTTCCCCGAGAAGCTGCATTGTCTAATCCAGCGCTTCTCGATGGGGTGAATCCCCCAAGGAATGTTGGCCGCTCCCAAACACCGGTTGACAATGATAGACATGACAGCAAAAGGGGAAGCCCCTTCTGGATTCATCAGACTCTCCAGCAACGACAGACGGATCAGGAAAGAACCGGGGGCGGGACGTTGCGGCTTATCTTCTCACACCGGAGGCGCGCACCCTCCAACTGCAGTAAGTTTTTGAACTTTGCAAAGTCCAACGAATTCGAGCAGTTCAAGGATGCGGAAGAATTCGAGCAGTTCAGATGGTCATTTGGAAATTGCCGAAATTTTATATGCCCGCATTTTTTGCATAGAACCTCGGGGATTTTCCGCGAGATTTTTTATAGGAAAATCTGACATATTGAAATTTCGGCACTATGAAACCTCTATTTCTCTGTCGCTCTCTGTCGCTCTCTCTCTCTCTATCTCTATCTCTCGCTCGCTCACTCGCTCTCTCCCTCTTTCTCTCTATATCTCACTATCGCTCTCTATCTCTCGCTCTCTCACTCTCTCTCCCTTTCTCTCTTTCTCTCTCTCCCCCTCTCTCTCTTTCTCTCTTTCTCTCTCCCGCTTTCTCACTCTCTCTCCCATCCTCAACCATTAGTGCGCTGTCCCACACCATCCCATTCCCTTTATAAAACCCCTGTACCCTAGTGGCCATTTCAACTGGCCAGATCCCGATGGCCACCTATCTTTTTTGGGCCCTCATGGAGACGAGGGGGGGGGGCTGCTGCTCCTGTAAATTGGGTTGGGGGATGGCGGGGGCTCCAGGAGGTGATGAAGGGCAGGAGAATGCATCTTTCTATCTATCCTTTTTGGCTTTTATACATCTTCTGCCTCTCTTTCTCCTATTCCACCCTCATCGCCTAGACAGCCCGCGCTGTGCACATATTTATCTTCCTCATCACCACTTTGATCTGTCACAATAGGGCCAATTCTAAGCTAAGCCCAAGCTAAGCCAAATCTAAGCCTAAGGCTAAGCTAAGTTAAGCCTAAGTTAGGTTAAGCCTAAGCTAAGCCTACTCCTACGCAAGTCGACAGCACCTAAAGCCCCCACCATACCCACCGGGGCTCATTTTCACTTCCGCATCCCTTTAAGCCCACCAAAAATTTTTAGGCGCAGCACACCGTAAGCCACCTTCCTGCCAATTTCCAATTAAACTACATGTTTTTGATCCCGGCGCAGAAGTCATCCCATTTGGGGGCAAATAGCTAATCCCCCTTACCTCGAGGCGCCCCTCTGACCTCCCCCCACCAAATTATCCAAGGCTCTCTTGATCAGAAAGAATTCTAGAACACTTTGTTTAGCTTCCGAAACACAGAATTCTTATTGTCGAGCAAAAGCAAAAAGTTTGTCTTGGCCAGGAATCGAACCCTGGTCGTGCACCTGATAGGACAAGCGCACTACCACTTGGCCAAGTTCTTTTTTTGTATAATTTGATTATATTCATGTTATTATTTTTCTTATTATTATTATTCTATTAGTATTGATATCTATTCTATTAATTCTACAATTTTTTTTGCAGAGAACACTTATGTGAAGATGAGATAAACCCGTGACGACGACGCCAAAATGGACAACTTTTCCTCGGCAAGCACCGAAGCCCCGATGAGCCCCACCTCGGCCGACCCGTGCAACTATACGCCGCAAATATTTTTGGTGAGCTTTGTGTGGGGTTTAGGCTTGGCTTGGGCTGAGTCTTAGGTTAGGCTTGGCTGAAGCTTGGCTTAAGATTAGGCTTGGCTTCGGCTTCGGCTTAGGCTTAGGCTTGGCTTAGGCTTCGGCTTAGCCTTGGCTTAAGCTTGGCTTAGGCTTAGTCTTAGGCTTGGCCTCGGCTTCGGCTTCGGCTTAGGCAGGGCTTAGGCTCAGGCTTAGGCTTGGCCTAGGCTAAGGCTTAGGCTTAGGCTTAGGATTAGGCTTAGGCTTGGCTTAGGCTTGGCTGAAGCTTGGGTTAGGCTTCGGCCTAGCTTGGCATAGGCTACGGCTACGGCTTAGGCTTGGATTAGGCTTCGGCTTGGCTCAGGCTTAGCCTTCGGCTTAGGCTTAGGCTTGGATTAGGCTTAGGCGCAGGCTTAGGCTTGGCACAGACTTAGGCTTAGGATTATGCTTCTGCTTAGGCTTAGGCTTAGCTTCAGTTCCACTTCAAAGCCCTTTTCCCCCTTTAAAAGTGAATTTTCAGCTGTGGAAGATGTGGTTCGTTGGGGTTGTCGGCTGCACGACGGCCGTCGTATCGATTTTCCACAATTGCATCCTGTTCTACACCTTTAACTCGTCGAAGGTATCTTACACGCAGCAATCAGAAAAAAAACACGGAATACCGCAAAGTCCAAATTTTTTGAAAATTGATAAAACTCGAAAAACTTTGCAGTATTCGTTGGTGTTTTTTGGGGGGCCCAGGAATGCTGTATTTCGACTGCTTGTAGCCTGATAACTAACCTGATTGATGTCCATTAACATACGCTAACCCTAGCTGCTCGACGTGTAAATTAACAACACTGTTTTGTAGGGTATTCGTCACGTCTCGAATCATCTTTATAACCCAATTAATTCTTGTTTAATAGTTGTCTATGCAAATTACAATTTTAAAAATTTTTTAGGCCTTGAGATTAATTGGCAAATAATAATCGCTGTTTTTCATGCTATTTTACAGCGGTTCAGCAACTTTGGAGCTTGTTCGTTGGCGGGGGGTTGAGCAGGGAAAACTAGCTTTATGCAAATAATCCAGTAACCGCTCTATAATGGACAATTTTCTAGTAGCGTTTTGCTCGTCTTCTAGAGATATTTGGGATCTGGTGCGTTAGCGGGGGGTGGGATTTTAACGGGGAGAAATTTACTTTTTTTAATGTCGCCTTAGTGCCCAATAATGAAAATTTTGAATAGAATTTTTGTTCAATTTTTAGCTATGAAAGGCCCAGAAAATTATTCATATTTCCAAAAAAATCAAAATTTTCGTAAAAAAATCCATTTTTTAGTTAAAAATTTGTGATTTTCCACTTCCTATAAATTTATGCTAATTCATGCTAATTTCCTCCCAATAACCCGATCGAAATCTACCTGCGCAGCCCCCGATTAACAGCATGACCGTGTCGAGCATGTGCCCCATCTGCATGTATAGATGCTGCACCGGCAACGCATGCGACGGACGTCTTTCGCCTTCTCTTGCCTTGAGCCCCGGGTGCCGCCACGGCTTCTCCTCGAGTATTTGCAGCTGCTCCGCCGCCGAAACCTCACCTATCTGATGTGGATCTCGCTGTGCGACATCTTCGTCTCTCTCTCCTATATTGCCATCATGTGTGTACAGGTGAGGGGGACAATTCAAAATGCCGACAGATTTCGATAGTTAAAATTCAACTGCGAATGGTTCCAAAAATGCCGACAGTAGAAAAACACCGAAATACCGACAGATTGCGATGGTTAAAATTCAACCGCGAAATAGAAAATGTAAAAAAAATACCTATGGTCAACGGACTGGCCTAAGTACACACTAAAAATACCGACAAAGGAATTTTCACATAAGTGCGCTAAAGCATGAAATCCCTGGTCTCAAAAGCCAAAATACCGACAATAGGCCGTCCCCCAGGCCGGCAATAAAAATACCGAAAAAAATGACGAAAGACATCGATAGCTAAATACCGATCGAAGTGCTGGCAGCCACCTCAGAACTTCAAATTCGATAGAACGGTACGCTACCAAACAAACTAGCGACAGAAAAACGTCAAAGCAAGCACATACAGGGTGTCCCAAAAAAACGACCCATCTGGCATTTCGCCGGGTTAAATCAATATTTCAAACAAATTTGGACCGGGGGTGTATCGGACCCTAAATAACAACAATCCTGACTTATAGCCCTGTAGCCTAGAGTAGTTCTCGAGATTATATCCCAAACAAACTTTATTTTCCATTTTTCTTAGGGTTTTCAGTGAATTAGACCCCCTAAACATTAAGTGAAAATGATCCGGTAGGCTGCTTGCTTTACCCTAAGAAATTTTTCCAGGTTAAAATTGATTAAATAAACTTTGATTTAAGCGATTGTTAGAACATAAGAGTACCCAAGTTCTTAAGCAGAAATTAAGGATTCACAGCCGGAAGTCGATGGAAATCGATGCAGATCCAAAAAGATAGCCGAAAAAAAACTGTTCAGAATTCCCGGAAAAACAGTATTTTCGTTATAACAAAAGAACCACGAAGCTACAGGGCTATAAGTCAGGATTGTTGTTATTTAAGGTCCGATACACCCCTGGTCCAAATTTGGGACCGATTGGATGTTTCTGAGTGAAATGCCAAGTGGGTAGTTTTGGGAGGGACACCCTGTATAGCGATCGCGAAAATGTCGACAGAAAAACCGCCAAAATAATGCCGATAGGTAGCAAAATTAAAATCCGGACACATATTGCGTCACGCTACTTATCTGATTTCAAAGTCACCATTACAATATCAGCAAACAAATAACCAAAAATACCGACAACCAAAAACTCCGACCGCTCTCCTCCACCCACAACCGCCATGCAAACACCACAGTTTGAAATAACGACAGTAAAGGTCCAAAAAATATGGAATCGACAGCTAAAATCCCAAAGAGTTGTCGGCATTTTTGATTACGGTGTTTTGTTGTTGAAACAAGATGAGTGGAAATCCATTGGACAATGGCGTATGAAAATTTTTCAAATCTTTCTCCTTAGGTGTACGCCGACTACTTTGAGTCGTGGCCCCTGTTCGTCGCCTGGCACAACTACCTCACCTCTACGCGTTCACCATCTCCGGAATCACTTTTTGCTGGTCGTCGTTTCTCCTGATGGCGGCCACCATCGAGCGATACCTGCAAAGTACCGGCAATTCAAAGTAGGTTGTACGAGCAAGATGCGGCTGTGGATTCTACCGCGCTGGATAGCTTTTTCATAGCGTAATGGATTAAGGTATTCAAACGAAAATTAGAAGCGGTTTTAAAAGAGAATCCTTAGCTTTGCGCTTCCGGAGGTACTTTAAAGGAACCACAGGAATCAGGTATTTTGAGCAAAATGTCGAAATTCATAATGTCGAACCACAAACTGTCGAAACGAAGAGCGTCGAAAGGCTTGATGTCGAAATTTCAATACGTCAAGTTTGCCCCGAAAAATCGCGAAAATCGCGAAATTTTTACGTTTCGACATCCGGCATTTTCGAAAGTTATTTTAAAATTTTTAAAATCACTATCGGATAAATAGTTATGGAATAATTCGGAATTTTGAAAACGGGCCGGAAAAAGAGACGGCTGGCTTCACGTTCCTTTAAAAGCATAACCTTCCGGCTCCTCTCATGTCAGTGAAAAAACTCTAAAATTGACCCGTGTCGACGCCTTTACAACAAAATATCGAAAAAGCCCGAAGTTGCTACATATCCTCGCGTACTTTTTGGCCGTCTATACCCCTATCGCTAAATGGCTGATTGGATCCGTTTTTAATGTCCAAATCGTGTTACCGGCATGCCAAAAATACATCCATCGATCCGTTGATTGTTTTCAGAGACGAGGGAGAACCCGGAGGAATTAGATAATCCTGTGTGAGTAACAGAGAAGCTTCTTTTATACTAACAATCTATACGCTAGACTAATCTTTTTGGCTTGCTTTTCTTCCGTCCCTGCTTGTCACTGTCCCTTTAGAGTTTAAACAAGATCGATAACCCCTCAAGCATGCTAAATGTTTTTTTGAATGTCGGTCGTATTACAGGGCTGCGGCTTGGCTTAGGCTGAGGCTTGGCTTGGTCTAGCAGGCCTAGACTTCAACTTGGTTTAAGCCAAGGCAAGCCCACGCCAAGTTTAAGCCTGGCTTGGGCTTGGCATGGAGCGTAGCCTCAGCTTAGGTTAGGCTTAGGCTCGAGCTTATACTTAAGCTGGTGCTTGGGACTTAGGAGTTAAGACTTAGGCATTGCTTCCTTGGCTTGAGCTCTGCTTGGCTTGGGTTTTGCTCAGGCCCAGGCTTGGGCGTGGGCTTGACTTAGGCCGAGGGCTTGGCCTGGTTTAAACTCAAGCTTGAAGCTTAGCTAGTGCTTGGGTCAATTTTAAGTCTGGCTTGGGCTTAGGTTTGGCTTAGGCTTAGCTTAGCTCACGCTTGGCCTTGATTTAAACTCGAGCCTAGACCTTGCTGAGGCTTAGGCATGGCGTGGGCATGGCTTGGGCTTAGGCTTTATCGAAGTTCGTCCTGCAACTTTTCACAAACCCCTGGAAACTTGCCAAACTGTCAAAGCCCGGCTTAAACCGAACCGTTCACTTCAAAAAATTATCATTTCCGCATTTCCATCCCCGTTCCCTCTCCTTTTCGAGTTCCATTATTTCGATTCATCTATTAGTGGTGGTGGTTAGTTGTTGTTCAACCCAATCCCAAACGAATCCCTTCCATTTCCAGATCAACAGCTGTATTCCATTTCCTCTCCAACCATCGAGGACTCGTCGTTTTTCTTTGTATGTGCTTCGGCATCGTCTTCAGAGGCACCGTATACCTCGAGATAAATGTGGGCGATTTTTGAGTCACGTTCAAATAAGATATTTTTAGATCGAATACAACACGAATTGCTCGGGGTTTGCCGCGTATTCAGTATATGCGATTCCGCTCACGGATTACCCGGACTTTGATATGCTGTGGAAATTTTGGATTCGAAAGATTGCCACAGTGTTTTGCCCTTCGTTGGTGAGTTGTTTGGCGATTTGGCAGATCTTGACTCACTCAGACGTATCCTTAGGCTTAGATTTAGGCTGATTGTTAGCTTAGGCCTGGACTTAGGCTTGGGCTTAAGTCATTAGCTAATAGCCTTTAGCTTAGGCCTTTGCTTGGCTTAGGCTTACGCATAGGCTTCTGCATAGACCTTACTTAGACTTCTGCATGGGCTTGGGTTTGAGGCCCAGGCTTCTGCTAGGCTTAGGCTTAAGCTTAGGCACAGGCTTAGGTAGGCCTAGACTTGCGGCTTGGGCTCTTGCTTAGGCTTAAGATCTTAGGATTAGCTTTGTCCTAAGCGTGCTTAGACCCGGGCTTTAGCTTAGGCTTCGGCATGGCATTAGCCTGAAGTTTTTTCGGCACCTTTTTCGGAGGACAGGCTAGCAGAGATTACCTAGGATTCATACCCCAATTTAGTCCTCGCCTACTTCAACGCGGCCATCGTGATGAACGTGCGGAGAACGGATCGAGATCAAACGGTGAAGACGCTGATCCTCTACGTCACCGTCGGCAGCAAGTATGTCGGCTTTGAGAGGGGTGTGGACACCAATAGGCAAGAGAACTAGATCGAGCGAAAAACACCCAAACCCCAATAAACTCCAAATTTTCAGAGGGGAGTGGCCCGGCTACGATCCAGGCTACGCACCGTCACCCGGATGCTTGTCATCGTCGTTTGTAATATTTGTTTTCGAATATTCTGGACGTCATTATTGCCGGGATGGAAAATATCAGTCCGGGTAGGGATTTTTATTTTTCGGTGCGTTTAAAGGGGTATGCTTAGGTGTAGGGTGATCTCACGTATTTAGCGGGTTGAAGATTTTTACAAGCGTATCGTAGCCTGTAAAATGCAGATTCCACATGCGATATTCCAGGGATTCTCGTGCGAAACGCTGAGGCGTACGCCGTCACTTCCGATATATCCTCGTTCCACCGATTCTGGCGTGCGCGATGCGGTTACCGATTTATACAGCCAGCGATCGAGAGATTAGGATGGAGGTGAGAGTTAGAGAGAGTGAGAGAGGCGGGAGAGAGGGTTAGAGACTGGGAGAGCGAAAGAGAGCAGGATCAGGATATCATTTTCCTGTTCAGGTAGTGACAACGCTCCAACTGCTTGGCCGTCGACTTTTCGGCCTTTTGCCTTGCTGCCGTCCGGTATTCCGAAGAGATAAATGGGGAGCACCACCCGAGCCACCGGGAGAGACGTACTATATGCCAAAAAAAGATCTCGATGAGGGGAAGCCGCCGAGGGTATGTGATGTGGCCTTTGACGAAGAAGGTGTATTGGGTCCAGGAAGAGCCAGAGAGAGAGGGAGAGAGCGGAGAGGGCGAGAGAGAGAGAAGGAGAGAGAGAGCGCGAGATGGAGAGATAGAGAGAAAGAGAGAGAGCGAGAGAAACAGAGATATGAGAGAGATAAAGAGGGACAGAGAGAGAGAGGAAGAGTGAGAGATAGAGAGAGAGTGAGAGAGAGAGGTAAGTGTGAAAGAGAACCAACAAAAAGTGAGTGGGAGAGATATAGTGAATGCGCAAGTGAGAAATAGGGATCCTAAAGGTGTCGGCTCGCTTTATACCTCCATTTCCGTATTTTCACGGCGATCGTTCCTCGAAGAATCTAGCCGATAAATTTCCTCAAAAATCTCGGCTGGCAGGCCTGGGTGAAAGGCGCAGCGCCAGAAAAATACCACCAATTTGAGTCGCGGAATGTCCAGCCCTAATCATGACTCGTGCTCAGCTGGTCTCCCGCAGTCTCAGCGCCGACAGCACCGACTCCATCTGTATCGTCTGAACGGCTGGAAGTGGTCTCAGGGATTTCTCAAACAATTTTGGAGTATTTTGATTCGACAAATATTTTGGGTGTCACTTGCGATCTATTTAAACTGTCGAAAATCAGAATGTAGTTAACGTTGATTTTTACAGGTATTGAAATGTCAAAAGTGAATTTCAACAAAGTGAAATCCGAAAAAACCATTTCGAAAAAAATGTATTTTAACAAAATAACATCCCGACAAGCCAAATTTCGACAAAACGAATTTCCGAAATCGATGTCGACATTCTAATTTTCGACACTCTAATAGCCATTAGCTTTTCCCCAACAATATTCCTATCAGGATTTGCACTACCATTTTTCTGCTATCAATGGGCAAGAAAATGACATATGACCAGGATGGTACAGTACCCGTACCATATCCCTCCCACATCATTTGCTAAATATTGCCCCTCCCCCGCGGTGGATTCGGAGTGCCTTTGCCCCTTTCTCGCGATCTTGATTAATGTTCCTTCCAACTGGTATGGGTGTATATTTTGTATATCTCACGTGTCTCTGACCCTTGAATGATTGCAGAAAGAGATATGTGAAAGGGGAAAGAAATAAAGATATTGGATGAATGGGGCGACCCTTGGTCTGATCACCCGCACCCGAGACGGCCTAGGCAATTCCGATTTTTTTCGCTGGTTTGTTGGGTGATATCATAGGTGAGAGAGAGAGAGGGAGTGGGAGAGGGCGAGAGACACAGAGAGAGAGAGAGAGAGAGAGAGAGACAGAGAGAGACAGAGAAACCTGGTCGGTTCGCCTGGACCCCTCGTTGGAGCGCGATAAATTTGAAGCGGCGAAACGCCGCGTTTTACGGGCTACCGTACCTGCAGCTGCGCTGGGTGCCCCAAAAATACCCCAGGAATCAGAAAACGCAGAGCTCTTGGAGGATGACGAATGCAAGTTTAAGCATAAAGATAAAAACTTTAAGATAGTTTGACTTAGACTTGGCTTAAGCTTAGACTTGGCTTCGACTCTGGCTTAGTCTTGGCTTAGATTTGGCCTAGGCTTGGCTTAGGCTTGGCTTAGGCTTGGCCTAGGCTTGGCTTAGGCTAAGCTTAGGCTTGGCTTAGGATTGGCTTAGGCTTGGCTTAGGCTTGGCTTAGGATTGGCCTAGGTTAGATTAAGCTTAGGCTTAGGCTGAGGCCTAGACTTGAGATTAGGCTTAGCTTAGCGTCGGCTGATGCTTAT